TTAAGGAGTCTGTGCTAGAACATAAATTAATACACTGCTTCCTTCATTGAGAAAACTCTTACTACATAAAAAACCCCCCACTGTTCTTAGTACAGTAGTAAAAACTGTGCACTATGTAAAGCTAATGCATTAAATTTAAATGACTATTTTTGATAAACTGAAACTTGATCATAAATATGCATATGTTATAATGCATGCTGAAGTACAATGGTTATGAAGAAGAAAGTGCCTTGAGAATGATGAACTACAGGATAAACTTAGTACTTCTAAAAGAAAAACAATAACCATATGGTCCCCAATTTTAAAGATCTCAATTGAACAAGTAAGAAATGCTTATTTGCCTGCTTTGTTTGGTATTTTTTTGTCCATGCTGAGCAGCTTGTGGGATCTTAATTCCCCAACCAGGAATTGAACCCAGGCCCAGCAGTGAAACTGTGGAGTCCTAACCACTGGACTGCCAGGGAATTCCCAGTTTGGTGTTTTTAAAAATCTTAGTACTTTCACACAAGGAAGTAATTAAACATATTTTTCAGAAACAAATAAACTCTAAGAGTAAAAATGCAAGTTAAAAGCCTGAAGAACAGTTCCTATAGGTTAACATGTTTCACAGAATATTCTGAATTATATTTTCCATAAAAAAAAACCACACATAGGAAATTCATGCATCCAGAATTCCTTTTTCCCACTGAAATATAACTTAATTTTTTTTTTTTTTTTGCGGTACGCGGGCCTCTTACTGTTGTGGCCTCTCCCGTTGCAGAGCACAGGCTCCGGATGCACAGGCTCCAGATGCACAGGCTCAGCGGCCATGGCTCATGGGCCCAGCCGCTCCGCGGCATGTGGGATCTTCCCGGACTGGGGCACGAACCCATGTCCCCTGCATCAGCAGGCAGACTCTCAACCACTGCGCCACCAGGGAAGCCCAATATAACTTAAATTTAATTATAACTTGACAGGATAAATTACTGGAGCTGACTACTTATGAAGCACTGAAGATGAACTCTGAAAATAGTTACTACTAATAATTTCATGAGGTACCTAGGTCAAATCATTTTGCTGTACACCTTAAACTTATACAGTGCTGTATGTCAATTATTTCTCAATAAAACTGGAAGAAAAAAAAAGAAAATGTAGTTAGTACTGGCTTCGTTTGGAAAAAGTAAAAATGAAAATCCTGAACTTAATGAAACTGCTTTAAAATCCACACTTCCATCCTCATTACTTTCACATTATTGCAGATCATTGTCTAAATTATCTGTAGTGAAGGACCATGATTTAAAAACTTCAACCTGGTGCAGACCAATACTTTTGTAAAACGCAATAGAAAGAATTTATTAGAAAAATAAATTAAAAAGAGGTACAGGACTTCCCTGGTGGCGCAGTGGTTAAGAATCTGCCTGCCAATGGAGGGGACACGGGTTCGAGCCCAGGTCTGTGAAGATCCCACATGCCACAGAGCAGCTAAGCCCGTGTGCCACAACTACTGAGCCTGTGCTCTAGAGCCCATGAGCCACCACTATTGAGACCACATGCCACAACTACTGAAGCCCGCACGCCTAGAGCCCATGCTCCGCAACAAGAGAAGCCACCGCAATGAGAAGCCCGTGTGCTGCAACGAAGAGTAGCCCCCACTTGCTGCAACTAGAGAAAGCCCACACACAGCAACGAAGACCCAATGAAGCCAATAAATAAATAAACAAATAAATTTAAATAAATAAATAAAAGAGGTACAAAAACAGCCCTTTGAGATGGATTTATGAGTATTATTTTTTAAAAAATTAAAAAGAAGAGGAAGAGCACCAACATAGAAATAATTTACATATACATCATCCTCCAGGAGTAGGGCTGTCACCAATCCCACTTAGATTAATTAACAAGAAAGATATAAGCTATTTTGACCCATTAAAAGCTTTAAAAATTAATATAAACAGCACTTATTCAAAGTATGTGTCTAGATATTAAGTACTGGGAATTGATACTTTTAGTTTTTTGCTTCAATTATAGAATTAAAAGGTGATTCCTTCTATTAATCACTTACACTCACACTTTCAATGATCAACATGTATAGTTATAGGGAATTTCCTGGCAGTCCAGTGGTCAGGACTCGGCACTTTCAGTGCTGGGGCTCAGGTTCAATCCCTGGTTGGGGAACGAAGATCCTGCAAGTCACAGGGTGTGCCTGCTGCCCCCTCCCCAAAAAAGGATAGTTATGTAATTCTTTTCCTTTTCTTATTTTGTGCTCATTTTGACTGTATTTATTGAAATGTAATTTTACGTCTGTCTGTTAAATCTTATTGTTAAAAATTTGAGCTTGGGGACTTCCCTGGTGGTCCAGTGGGTAAGACTTCACACTCCCAATGCAGGGGTCCTGGGTTCGATCCCTGGTCAGGGAACTAGATCCCACATGCATACTGCCAACTAAGAAGTACGCATGCCACAACTAAGAGCCAGCATGCCACAACAAAGATCCCATGAGCCGCCACAGCCTAAATAAATATTTTTTTAAGTTTGCGTTTGTATTTTGTATCTCTTCTTAATTTACTTTTCTAATAATTCCTATTTATTGTGTTTTACAAAAGTATTGGTCTGCAACAGGTTGAAAATTTAAAATCAGGGTCCTTCACTACAGAGAATTTAGATAACAATCTGCATTAATGCGTAATCTACCGAATATGAGAGTTATATCGTGTCACAAAGGAGAAGATCCTTGTTCTTAGGAAACAGTTATGAAGTATTTAAGAGTGAAGTGTCGGGCTTCCCTGGTGGCGCAGTGGTTGAGAGTCCGCCTGCCGAAGCAGTGGACACGGGTTCGTGTCCCGGTCCGGGAGGATCCTGCATGCGGCGGAGCGGCTGGGCCCGTGGGCCACGGCCACTGGGCCTGCACGTCTGAAGCCTGTGCTCCGCAGCGAGAGAGGCCACAGCAGTGAGAGGCCCACGAACCCAAAAAAAGAAAAAAAGAGTGAAGTGTCATGATGTCTACAATTCTCAAATGGTTCAGCCAAAACAAAAAGAGAGAAATACGGAAACAGATGGTGGAGAGAGGGGCAAAACATTTACAAGTGGTGAATCAGTATGAGAGGTATATGGGTGTTCAGTGTAATACTATTCTTGCAACATTTTTTTTTTTTTTTTTTTTTTTTTGGCGGTACGCGGGGCTCTCACTGCTGTGGTCTCTCCTGTTGTGGAGCACAGGCTCCGGCCATGGCTCACGGGCCCAGCCGCTCCGCGGCACGTGGGATCCTCCCAGACTGGGGCATGAACCCGTGTCCCCTGCATCAGTAGGCGGACTCTCAAACACTGTGCCACCAGGGAAGCCCTATTCTTGCAACATTTTTTTTTATTTTTTTTTTTGTGGTATGCGGGCCTCTCACTGCTGTGGCCTCTCCCATTGCGGAGCACAGGCTCCGGACGCGCAGGCCCAGTGGCCATGGCCCACGGGCCCAGCCGCTCTGCGGCATGCGGGATCCTCCCAGACCGGGGCACGAACCCATGTCCCCTGCATCGGCAGGCAGACTCTCAACCACTGCGCCACCAGGGAAGCCCACAACATTTTTATAAGTGTAAAATTTTTCAGAAAAAAAAAATTGGGGGAGATTAAAAAGTAATACTAAAAGACTAAAAGTGGAAATATGTGTATCTATAACCGATTCACTGTGCTGTAGAGCAGAAAGTAACACAACACTGTATATCAACTCTACTCCAATAAAAAAATAAAAATAAAAAAAGCCACCACCACCACCAACAACAACAAATAATAACAATAAAAAGTTTGCTTTACATCATTTATAAAACTAATAATGCCGGGACTTCCCTGGTGATCCAGCAGTTAAGACTCCATGCTCCCAGTGCAGGGGGCCCAGGTTCGATCCCTGGACAGGGAACTAGATCCCACATGCCGCAACTAATGTTCCCACACACTGCAACCAAAGATCCCGCACGCTGCAATGAAGATCCCGCATGCCGCAACTAAAACCCAGCACAGCCAAATAAATAAATAAATAGCACAGGGAGATCAGCTTGGTGCTTTGTGACCGCCTGGAGGGGTGGGATAGGGAGGGTGGGAGGGAGGGAGACGCAAGAGGGAAGAGATATGGGAACATATGTATATGTATAACTGATTCACTTTGTTATAAAGCAGAAACTAACACACCATTGTAAAGCAATTATACTCCAATAAAGATGTAAAAAATAATAATAATAAATAAATAAATAAATGTTAAAAACAAACAAATAATGCCCAACTTTTTTCTTAGATATATTTTCACTAGATGAAATAATTGTTGGAAACTGGAAATTATTTTTAAGAGTATCAACTTTAGGGGAAATTATATTTACAGAGAGTAAACAAGTCTAATTAATTACTGTCAAGGAAAATAAATGTGACCATCTATAAAATTGATTGGCAGGCACTTCATCTGTTCTTGTCCAGCTCTAAATTACAGATCTGTTGCTTTCATATTAAAATTTTAAATAAATGGGGAAAAAGAAATTCCGGTCATGTGGCTCTCATCTAGAACGGCCAAGAGTATTAAGCCTATAATGTTTTTCTAAACTAGTAACAAACCTATGAATCAATTAAAAAAATAATATTAAGATGAGGAAATAATATCAGAATCAAATTTCTCTCCAGGTACTTTCAATTCTCACTTGATTTCAAAGGTTTCACTGGGGCTTATACATCAAAGTTAAGGGAAGTAATAAAGGGAGAAATAGCCAGTCACAAAGCAAGGCATGAGTAAGTGAAACCAAATACTTAACTCTTACATTTTCTTGTTTCTGTTCAGCCAACCACTTCATAGTGCCCCCAACTACATTACCATATGTAACAGGACCTTTCTCATATTCCCTGACAATCAATGGAACCACTATTTTCCTTGAGTTCAAATATAAATCTTCCACAATATTAAGATGGGTTGGAATGAGGACAGATGTCTAACACCATTTAGAAGGATGCTCCTTTTTAAAAGTACTAGTTTTGAAGTTTGTGAATGTCATCTTACCTGACTTCTTCACCAGCAAAATCAAACACCTTGGTAATTTTAACTTTTTCTGTTTCTTTAGGTTTCTCTAGCTCTTCTGCTTTGACCAACAATTTACTTGAACTTGTCTCTTCAGCCTCCTCTCCTCTCTACGGAAAAGAAGTGTAATCAGTTTCATATAAGGATGAAAACTAAAAGATCCGTCCAAACACGCTGTTTCCAGCTATGCTTCAATATTTCATCTCTAAACAGTTAAATGCCTATTGAAATTTTATTTAATTGGAAAGGCTTGTGTTTCCTACCATAGGGAATGCTTTGCTTTTCACTTAGTAGAGTTACTATTAAAAGGCATCTAGTCTGATTTCTGTTGTAAGCCTCAAATCTCAGTTTTCAAATTTAAAAAATCTATCTGGGGAACTTGCAGCATTTCTGGCAAAGCATTCATCCCATTCATCTATTAACTTACTTTAACTTGTGTACGCAGAGGCACTTTTGATTTTGGTCCTACGTCATTGAGGAAGCTAGCCCATAGTTCATCTTCCTTCTTTTTCTTTGCATCCTCTGACTCAATGCCTTTTTCTGGCTCTGCAGCTGCATCTTCCTCCTCACTACTACTTCCTCCAGATTCCTCATTGGCATCCTCCTCGTCCTCTTCTTCTAATGAGAGGCCACCTTGTTTTCTCTTCCTAATCACCAACAGTCACAAGGAAAAGGAAAGACAAGACAGGCAAAATAATTTCAGTTATCCCTTCCTGAATTCCAAACATAATGTTGCAAATATCAGAAAACTTTTAAATCTGGGGACTACTGGTTAACACACCTGATAGGGGAAGTGGGAGAGGTAAGCTGAGATTTTGTGGAAGAAAAAAAGAACTGAGCTCTTACAGTTAGCATTTTCCCAAAGCATTTAGAATCAAAATACAGTGTTCTACTTCTAAGTTAGGACCAGCTGTTTTCACCAAGAAAATACCCAAAATCACCTCACAGAATCAATCTGTTCAGAAAGAGGTTCTAATAACATACATATTCCTGGTATTTTTGACTTTTTAAAAGTCACTCCATGTGGGGAACAGAGATTGAAGAGAGCCTCAGATTTATTTGCACTGTTTCTTCCCAGAGTTCTGAGGGGGTGGGGAATGGGGAATCCATGTTTCTTCCCACCTTCTGAAGATATGAAAGCTGGAATATACAAAAGCCAAGGATAAAAGAACTGGGTCCAAGACTTAAAAGAGTAAACTGCTTCTTAAGACTATTCTGACTTCAAGTGAATCACCTAATTCTCAAAATTCTCTTTCTACAATCTGATTTTTGCTTCAATGTCCAGGAAGACAGAAACACCAATCAAAGAGAATAAAAGACTTGTATTGAAAGACTCCCTTTTTGAGTTAAATAACTTGTCAGAATTTTCATAATTTTTGGTGGGAGTGCAATTCAGTACCAGGCTTATAGAAGGTAATTTGTCTACACTTATAATTTTTTTTTTTTTTTACTACATATAACACTGGGTCAAACAATTCTACTTCTACAGATCTAATTTACAAATATACATGTGTACAAAGACACATAAGAAGAATATTCACTGCAGTCTTATTTGATGTAGTAAAGATGAGGACAATCTAAAGGTCTCTCAATAAAGGAATGTTTAAATAAAGTAAGGTCTGTCCAGTAATGTAACACTACACTGAAAAGAAAAAGGTATAGCTAAATATACTGCCATAGTATCATCTCCAAGATGTGAAATAAGGAAAGTGAGAAATGATATGCAGAGTATGCTACTATTCATTTTTTTTTTTTTTTTTAAGAGTAGGGAATTCCCTGGCGGTCCAGTTGTTAGGACTTCCCATGCTTCCACTGCAGGGGGCGTGGGTTCGATCCCTGGTCAGGGAAGTAAGATCCCGCGAGCCGCATGGCCAAAAAAAGAAAAAGTAGGAAATACATATATACATGATCGTACATACACAGATTTATCTCTGGTAACATAATTCTTCTGAGACAAAGCAACAAGGGCTAGAGATGGGGTACATATTTTTTGTAGCAATTGCTTTTTTCTTTTCTTTTGGCCGAACCACGCAGCTTGTGGGATCTTAGTTCCCTGACCAGGGATTGAACCCAGGCCCTGGCATTGGAAAGGCAGAGTTCTAACCCCTGGACTGCCAGGGAATTCCCGGGTTTTCAATTTTAAACCAGGTGCACATATTACCTATTAACTTTTTTAAATTAAAGCTCAAAACATTTTAAAACTTGCCAGAGAATAAGAATTTAATCCTAAAATGTCACCAAATATTTCCCTCAATGAGAAAAAGGTTAGAAACCATGGCAGTAAGAAATCTATCATGAGACCAATCCCAGCAATCTGGAAGGTTATGACAACAGCCCCTGACTTCTAAGGGCCTTGAGGGCAGCATCACCTGGCCGGAATGCTCTGAGACTTTCTTTTTCTCTCTTTGGTTTTCTGTGTCTGCTCTTCACCATCCACTTCATCTTCCTTCACTAATTCATTTACATCATCTTCACTATACTCTCCACCTGAAATCACATAACAGGGTTGGTCAGACAGACAGGAATAAAGGTTTTCACATCAAGATGAGACATTTTCATTAAGAAAAAAATGTAGTACTTTCCTCTGTTCTTCACCAGACTAAAATAGCATTTCCTGAGGGACGTCTTCCCTATTCCTGAAGACTAGGCTAAGTTCTCCTATTCTAGGCCTCCAGGGCAGTCCATATTTCCCTCCTTAACGCACCCCACTTATATTTAATGCTTGCAATTTCTGCTACGCTCCACACACCATGAAAACTAATGAAAATCGCTATCTGTAAGGGTCAAGGCAGAAGACAGTGGGGTAAGCAGGGGCAGCAGAAGCAAGAGTTCTCAGTGTTTAATGCTCCGCAGAATTCCAAAAATCCCTTAAATTGAGCAAAGTTTAAATAAACAAACATAACCAAACTGATAACACAAGTCACAAAGAAAGGATTTACTCCAAGGACTTTATTTATTTATTTATTTTTAATGAATTTATTTATTTTATTTATTTATTTTTGGCTGTGTTGGGTCTTCGTTGCTACGTGCAGGCTTTCTCTAGTTGCAGTGAGCGGGGGCTACGCTTCGTTGCGGTGCTCGGGCTTCTCATCGCGGTGGCTTCTCTTGTTGCAGAGCACGGGCTCTAGCCACAAAGGCTTCAGTAGTTGCAGCTTGCAGGCTCAGTAGTTGTGGCTCACAGGCTCTAGAGCACAGGCTCAGTAGTTGTGGCACATGGGCTTAGTTGCTCTGTGGCATGTGGGATCTTCCCAGACCAGGGATCGAACCCGTGTCCACTGCATTGGCAAGCGGATTCTCAACCACTGCGCCACCAGGGAAGCCCCTCCAAGAACTTTAGAAACAGTATTTTGACTGTTCATCCTTAGCAAGATGCATTCTAAAGACCAAAAAAGTTCTATTCCTAGTAGTAACATTGGTGTTGGTATTTTGAAACTGTTCCTTTTATTATAGGTAAAAGAAAGTTAAGTAGTTATACTAATCTTGTTAGGAATCCAGAACTTCAGAGTAAGAAATGACACACAATTATAAAACCAAAGAAATTAAGAAATTAAGTGAAAACAAATGTTAAAACGGAACTTAAAATTCAGAACTCTTAACTCTTTTTAAGATAAATATCTTCTAGCTCTGTTCACTTAAATGGCATAGAAGCAATGTCACTCTAGTAGCAACGAGCATTTCTTTAAAGTTCAGATTGTATTCTTTGATATGACTCAAAACAAAAATGGCTCCCTGAAAAGGCCAGCTAATTTCAGGTCTGAGGGAAGGAAAGCACAAGGTGAAATGGGGGCATTTTGCTGTGCCAGAAAGCAAGGTAGTTATTTAAGAATAATGGGTCACATTAAAAGGATATAAGATCCAGCTTGAAAGAACTTTTAGTGGCCCAAAGTGATGACCTGACCATTAAAACGAATAACTGTTAGACTGAAACACACTGAATCGATAAAAAACTGTGACACCTTTATGATATATTTTTTTAAAAGACAGAAAAAATTATTTGTACCAGGGCTTCCCTGGTGGCGCAGTGGTTAAGAATCCGCCTGCCAATGCAGGGAACACGGGTTCGAGCCCTGGACCAGGAAGATCCCACATGCCGCGGAGCAACTAAGCCCGTGCACCACAACTACTGAGCCTGCGCTCTACAGCCCGCGAGCCACAACTACTGAGCCCACGTGCCACAACTACTGAAGCCCGTGCGCCTAGAGCCCGTGCTCCTCAACAAGAGAAGCCACCACAATGAGAAGCCTGCACACGTCAGTGAAGAATAGCCCCCGCTGGACGCAACTAGAGAAAGCCCATGCGCAGCAACGAAGACCCAACACAGCCAAAAATAAATAAATTAATTAATTTAAAAAATTATGTGCACCATTTTAGGTTACTATTAAGATTACTCCCTATTTTGAAAATTGGAAATTAAGGGAAATGAATTAAACATTTATCCTGCCCCACTAATGAGGAAAAGCTACACTTTCAGAAGAACATCAACCAATAAATGTAGAAGAACCACAAAATTAGAAAACCATCACTCTCACACTCTAATGATAGTAGTAATTTAGGCAAGGATTATCAAGTAATGTTAAAAAACAATTTAAGTTTTAACGATTAAGTATACTACCACACAGAATACTTTCCAATTCTAAGAAAAAATAATTACAAAACAGAAGGACCAAACTCTCATCATTCTGATCCAGAAGTCACAACCATGGGAATTAACCAGGTATTTTGTGTTTTCTGATGTTATGCATTATGAAACACTCAAGTCATCTATAATTTATTTTAGCTAAAATTATTTCATTTGAATCCACCAAGCATTTAGATCTAACTTCCAATTTAATGAAAATTCAAGGGACGAAGGAACAACCTAATACCATGAGGGAGCAACCAGACAAAATCAGAAGGTGAGACATTCTGCAGGACATACAGCCTGATCTCCTAAGCCAATCTAAGTCACAGAAACAGGAGTGTGCTAGATTTAAACAGATTTAAGGGATAGAACAACTGGATGATACATGTAGTCCTGAACTCAACGGTGATTTAAACAAAAAAGCTAAAGCCATTTTTGAGTCAACAAGGAAAACTTGAATATGGTTTGTATATTAGATGAGCTGAAAGTTTACTGAAATGGACAGGGACAGAATGTTCACTGAAAAGAGCAGGTTACAAAGTAACATGAAAAAACTATGATTTCTGGTTGGGGAAAAATACAAATAACTACACCCGGGTATAGAAAAAAGATCAGAGTGGGTTTCACTAAGGGACCAATACTGATAATCTCTGGGTGGTAGGAATGGAATGATTCTGATTTTTTATGTTTAATTGCCTGCATTTCCTAATTTTCTACAAAGTTCATGCACTGCTTTTGTAATAATATATAGCTATTTTTCTTCATAAAAATGGGTGAATGTTGTAGACAGTTGAGACAAAGAGATGCATATGGCTCTGGATCTTAAACATGAAAAAAGATGCTCAATCTCACTGATAAGAAAAAAGCAAATTTTAAATTACACAAACAACCACAAAAATCATGCAGTTACTCTAAGAGTAAGAAACAGAATAACAACCCTATAGACAAAAAAAGCACAAAATAAACAAATCTTTTTTTAATTGAAACTCCAAAGACTCAGAGCTTCCATCACCTTTTCAGTCCCCCATGCTTAATTTAAATATGAGTCAAACTGAATCACCAAAAAAATCTGAGAAAGTGTCTAACATAATAATGCCCAACACAAATGTACAGGGTGAATAAAATCACCTTAGCGGAAAGAGACTGTTTCCTCATTCTATCAGGCTAGCATTATTTGATACCAAAGCCAGGCAAGGAAATTACAAGAAAACTACAGACCAACATCCCTCATAAACAGATGCAAAACTCCTCAACAAAATTCAGTAATGTAGAAGAAGAATAATACATCAGGACCAAGTAAGTTTTATTCCAGAAATAAAAGGCTGTTCAAAAATTTTAAATCAATCACTGTAATTCATCACATTAACAGATAAAAGAAGAAAAACCACACATCAACAGATGGAGAAAAAGCATTTGACAAAATTCACCTCTCAGCAGATTAAGAATAGAGGGAATTTCTTTAACCTAATAAAACACATTAGGGGCAGTATATGCAGACTGCCAGGATTCAAATCCCAGCCCAGCTACTATCTAGCTGAGTGACTTTGGGTTCCTCAGTTTCTTCATGTGTGAAATGGAGAGCACAATAGCACATACTTGATAATGTTATGTGATTGAGTTAGTAATGAGTTAGACAATGTAAAGTGCTTAAAACACACACAAAAGGCATCTATGAAAAACCTATAGCTAACATTATACCAAATGGTGAAACAGTGATGCTTTCTCCTTAAGACTGGGAACAAGTAAAGGATATCCACTCTCACCTGTCCTATTCAATATTACTTTGGAAGTCTATACTAAGTACAATAAGGCAAGCAAAAGAAATAAAAGGTATGCCTATTGGAAAAGAGGAAATAAAACTGTTTCTATACACAGACAATATGATCTAATTTGGGGGGGAGGGGAGGGTAAAGGTGGCCTTGGGACTGTTAATTTTAGCGGCAGTTACATAACTCTAAGCATTTGTCAAAAATTCATAGAACACTATAACGAAGAATGAATTTTACCATGCATAAGTTAAAAGTAAAAAAATTTAAAGCATTATTATTATTATTATTATTTGACAGGTAAGAAGTGGATTTATTTAGAGAGATACACATTCCATAGGAAGAATGCGGACCGTCTCTAAAGGCAAGAGCGGTCCCAGGGCATGGCGTCGTCTTGGAAAGTTAGAGCAGTCATGGGAGAAACATGCTCCACAGAGTGTGGGCCAGCTGAGAAGGGAAGAGGCCTTAAAGCATTAATAATATCCACAGAGCAATAAGATACTGCACACATGAAACAAGAACATGATGCTATTTAAAATTTGTGAAAAAACAAAAGTTATTCAAAATTAAAAATATCCAAGGGCCAGATTCAACACTGATACAAGAAAACAAAGCACATGCTGCCCAGTGGCTTCTGGAAGTTCCTGGTCCACTAGGTCAAAGAGCTTGAAGTGCTGCTGATGGGCAACAAATCCTACGGTGCTGAGACTACTCCCAATATCTCCTCCAAGAACCCCAAAGTCACTGTGGAAAGAGCCACCCACCTGGCCATCTGAGTCACCAATCCCAATGCCAGGCTGCACAGCAAAGAAAATGAACAGACAGCTCGTGTACACACTGCACTTGTGTTAATAAAAGCCATAAAACTCTGGGGAAAAAATGTAAAGACAAAAAAAACTCAACAGAGGAGTTAGATGGTAAAATACCGAAATATTCCCATAAAGTGAAAAAGAAATCAAAGGGTTAGAAAATAGAGAATAAAAATAGAGGAAGGGACTTCCCTGGTGGTCCAGTGGCTAAGACCCCCCACTCCCAATGGAGGGGGCCTGGGTTCGATCCCTGGTCAGGGAACTAAATCACACATGCCGCAACTAAAGACTCCACATGCTGCAACTGAAAGATTCCACGTGCCACAACTAAAAGATCCCGCACCCGGAGACGAAGATCCCATGTGCTGTAACTAAGACCCGGCGCAGCTAAATAAATACATACTTACATACATACTTCATACATACATAAATAAAATTTTTTTTAAAGTTTATCAAAAAAAAAAAAGTACAGGAAAATAGAACCAGTCCATAAGGTCTAAGGTAAGATTCAACACATAAATAATGATGATTCCAAAAAAATAAAATGGAGAAAACTGTCCCCCCATATTTAAAAAGTTCCAGAAGTGACTTCCCTGGTGGCGCAGTGGTTGAGAATCCGCCTGCCAACGCAGGGGACACAGGTGCGATCCCTGGCCTCGGAAGATCCCACATGCCGCAGAGCAACTAAGCCGGGGTGCCACAACTACTGAGCCTGCGCTCTAGAGCCCTCAAGCCACAACTATTGAGCCCATATGCCGCAACTACTGAAGCCTGCGTGCTCTAGGGCCTGTGCTCCGCAACAAAGAGTAGCACCCGCGAGGCAACAAAGACCCAACGCAGCCAAAAAAAAAAAAAAAAGTTCCAGAAGGCCCAGGAGAATGGATGAAAACAGACTCATACCAAGGTACAGTAAGTATATCACTGTGAAATATCAGAAAATATCAGAAACAAAGAGACGATTCTATCAACTTCCAGAGATAAATTTTATATAAATGAGGAAAAATTACTGACAAGAGACTTTTTAATAAAAACACTGGAAACTTAGAAAATAATGGAGGAATATCTTTAAAATTCAGATAGAAAATTATTATTATAGAATGCAGAATTACTATTACAGAACACAGAATTCTATACCAAATTAGTAATCATGCCTGAGGGTCAATATTTCACTATTTTTAGATAGTCGAGGTCTCAAAAAAAAAGTTTCTAAAAAAAATGCATCTTTCCTCAAGAAGTTATTTGAGGATTTATTCTCATTTTGGTGAAACACACCAAGAAAGAAGACATCATGGGACCCAAGGAACAGGGAATCCAAGAGAAAATGGAGGTAAAAGGAACATCCAGAGTGGTGGTGATGATGGAAAATCTTAGGTTTCAAAAACCAAGACAAATTGGAGCAGGTCAGACGGCAAAGATGGACTTCAAAAAGTGAAAGATTATCTAATGAATCTAAATATCTTGGGAGATGATTTAGACAATTTTGAAAGTTCCGGATCAAATCAGTAGTAAGTACATAGACTAAGCAACAACAACAAAATGGCAATTATTAACTCCAGAGAAAACTAGTGCAGGAAAAGCAAAAACTAACTGTATATACCACATGGTCAGGCCTGAACAAGATGTCCACAAAGTAATTACAAAAAAAGGAAACAATACCAGTCTAACCCAAATTTCACATAGGAACATTGGCAGGCTGGGGAGTTGGGGAGGGTCTGAAGGTGAAACGGTGAGACTAAAGAGAATGTTAAAATAACACCTAACATGGATGGGTTAAGTCAACAGACAATGGAAGTACCAAATTTTAAACATAGAAAGCAGTTTCATGGGCTTCCTTGGTGGCGCAGTGGTTGAGAATCTGCCTGCCAATGCAGGGGACACGGGTTCGAGCCCTGGTCTGGGAAGATCCCACGTGCCGCGGAGCAACTAGGCCCGTGAGCCACAACTACTGAGCCTGCACGTCTGGAGCCTGTGCTCCGCAACAAGAGAGGCCGCGATAGTGAGAGGCCCGCGCATCGCGATGAAGAGTGGCCCCCGCTTGCCGCAACCAGAGAAAGCCCTCGCACAGAATCGAAGAGCGAACACAGCCAAAAATAAATAATAAATAAAAAAAAAAAAAAAAAAGAAAGCAGTTTCTTCTGGGGAGGATTGACAGGTATGAGGGGTGATGGAAACGGTTGTTTCAAAAATAAGCCTTTCAAAAATATTTGACTATTTTGAAACAGGCGCATGCATAACTCTGATTAAAATGAAAACTAGTTTTCAAATGATCACACTGGCCGATACCGAAGACCAACGTTGGTGGACAAGAATGGAACCCAGGAAACCAACTGGGAAGCTATGGCGAGTCTTAGTGTTAATGGTAGTTCAGTAAGAGCGAGACTGGGGAGGAACTGATCAGAAATTAACCTTCTACGCAGCCGCAAACAGAACTTAATGATTGGTTAGACCAAAACAGTGAGAATAAGGACAACTCCCAAGGTTTTGTTTTGTTTTTAACCTGAGCTACTGTACGGGCAGATACTTCTAATGACATGGGGAAGCCTGCGGAAGGTGCAGGAGGGCGGAAGGGGTAGGTTTGGGTGACATTTACTTTGGCCCGGTTCGGTTTTAGAAGCCTATACAAAAACAAAAAATCCAAGGTCTGATCAGAGAGCAATGGGTATAGACGTTGCAAAGAGGCAAAGGGCATCATTATGTGAACTTTTTAACAACCAGATCCCTTTTGAGAACAGCAAGTGAAGAGACCTATCTGGAATGTGATGCTAAGCTAGCAATTCTCTGGGGACGGAAGGCCTGGCGATAAGACTGCCTTTCAGAAGATTTCAGGGCTGGTAAGGGTACGCGATGACCGACCACCGCCAGCTTCACCAGAGGCAGAGCGGAGTTCACGTGCCGGTTCCCGCGCTCCGAGAGGCGGCGGCGGCCGAAGCCAGGCCGTGAGAAGCAGCTGCGCGAGACGTCCCCGTGCACACTTCCTGGGCCACGGGGCCCGCACGGTGCAAGCAGGCGGGCGAGGGCGCGGGGCGGGGACGCTTGAGACCCGCGCCACGCGGCCACTGGGCCACCGGGCCCACGAATGCCGGGCAAAGCGCCCCTCACGTGAGGCGCGGGGCGGGAAAAGCCGCCCCTCGCCTCAGGTGGAATCGCTCACCGGATGGCACGTAGTCTTCGTCCTCCTCCGAGGTGGAGAAGTCTTCGGAATCGAATTCCTCCATGTCGCTGCCGCGCGGGGCGAACACCGCCGCAGCAGCTACCCCCAACGGCAAAGCTCTAGGGAGAGACCATAGATAGAGCTGCTGCAGGGGCGGCGGTCGCTGGGGAGGCCCCCGCAGCGTGTGCAAAGGCGCAAAGAGTGCTACGTGATCCAAATGCGACACTTCCGGGCCAAAGCCCCGGGCTTGACGCTGCTGTGGCGGTTGGCGGAACACGGGCTCCGTGCTGAAGCGGTGCATGCTGGAACTTGTAGTCCCCAGTGCTACCAGACGCTTTGATTTAGTAAATATGCTTAAACGAAATTTGTTTTGTCCACGGGAATACAGATGACCTTCGTTATTCACCGGTTGGTATTTTTGTATTCGCTTACTTGTTAAAATTTACTGTCACCCCAAAAATCAATATTCGCGGTGCTTTCTGGGGTTATTCGCGGACATGCGCAGAGAGTGAAAGTTTTGAGTCAACCAGTGGTGGCTTGTACCGACGTTGGAGGCGGATGATCCGCTATCTTGCTTCGGCTCTCGTACTCCAAATAAGTGTCCTCTTCGCAATCTGTTTAGTGCCGCGTTTTTTTGCATTTTTTGTGCTTTTTGTTGGTGATTTCGCTGTTTAAAATGACCCCTGAGCGTAGTGCTGCGGTGCTGCCTAGTGTTCCTAAGCGCAAGAAGGCTGTGATGTGCCTTATGGAGAAAATACGTGTGTTAGATAAGCTTCGTTCAGGCATGAGTTGTAGTGCTGTTGGCCGTGAGTTCAACGTTAATGAGTCAACAATCCGGTACATCAAGAAAAAGGAAAAGGAAATTCGCCGATCTGTACGTGAGGCTGCTCCGGAGAGTGCTAAAGTGACATCTATAGTGCGTGAGGAAGCTATGGAAAAGATGGAAAAGCGGCTCAATTTGTGGATTCATGAGATGACAACCGATAAAAAAGGTGTGGTGGACAGCATTGTTGTGAGGCTGAAAGCCAAAGAAATTTACGGCCACGTTACCCAGGGTCAGAAAAACGTGAAACCCTTCTCGGCTAGCGCTGGCTGGCTTGCACGTTTCAAAAGGCGATATGGTGTGAGTAATGTTAAGCTTGCAGGTGAGGCAAGTTCTGCAGATCAGGAGGCTGCGGAAGAATTTAAAAAATACCTGCTAAGTGTTATTCAGGAAAAGGGGTACGTGGAAGAGCAGGTTTTCAATGCTGATGAGACTGGCCTATTTTACAAAGACGTTGGCAAAAGAACCTATATAACGCAAATGGCCTCCAAAGCCCCTGGCTTTAAATCATTCCAGGATTATGCAACCCTGCTTTTGTGCGCCAATGCCAAGGGCGACTTTAAGTGCAAACCCCTAATGGTGTACAGAGCTCCAAGTTCACAAGCAGTTAAAGGGAAAAGCGTGAATCATATGCCGGTCCATTGGAGGTGGAACAAAAAAGCATGGATGACTTCTGATTGGTTCCACAGCTGCTTCATACCAGAAGTTGAATACTATCTCCAGGGCAGAAACCTTGCCTTCAAGATTTTGTTAATTTTGGATAATGCCCCAGTCCATTGCTGTGAAGAACTCAAAAATGCCCACCCCAACGTAGAAGTCCTTTTCATGCCCCCAAATACTACGTCTCTCATCCAACCCCTGGATCAGGGCATAATAAAAGCCTTCAAGGCGCACTATACTAGGGAGCTTTATAGCAAGGCTTTTGAGGCTCTCAAAGCCAACAAGGAGACTACCATGATGGACTATTGGAAGTCAGTCACTATACGCAACGTTATTGATTATGTTGGCACAGCATGGGACAACATCAAGCAGGCTACTATCAATAATTGTTGGAAAAATGTTTGGCCGGACTGTGTAGAAAATTTTGAAGGCTTTGAAGGTGTTACAGAAAGTATAAAGAACAGTGTCAAAAACATAATGCATATCGCATGGCAAATAAGTGGAGAAGGCTTTGATGACATGAGAGAAGAAGATGTGGAGGAAATTTTGGCAGAGAAGGCAGTAGAACCCACCAATGAAGACTTGGACGAGATGGCAAAACAAGGCGTTGGAGTCAGTGATGATGAAGATGGTGATGAAAGTCAGCCTAAGAGTCCAGGAATTGTCCCTCTTACAGCGGCCAAAATATCAGAATGGAACTCTGCCTTGGAAACAATTTTCAGTGACATGGAAGAGTGTGACCCTATGCTTGATCGCAGCCTCAAATTTAAGCGCTTAGCCTCCTGTGCATTTGCCCCCTATGCCAAGATGCTTAAAGATTTGAGGCAAAAAGCCAGGCAGACGGGGTTGACCCAATTTTTGGAGCCAGTTTGGGGGGGGAAATTGCCAACTCCATCAACAAGTGGTGAGAGCCAAACCTCTGAGGTTGAACTGATGGATGTCAACCTGCCACCCTCTTCCTCTTCTGCAGAATGAGTTCCACCAACCTCTCCCTTGCTTTTTGTGGGGCAAGCCAAGGTCGAGAGGTTTAACCACACTGTGCACTGTGCCATCACACAGCCTGCAGCTCTATCAACAGTAAGATTTTAGTTAACGTTTTTATAAAACTTTAAACGCTTCATCTTTCATTTTTTCAGGACTTTATTTGCATTACTGCACACTATATAGTATGTGTTTACAGTACTGTATGCATTTAGTGTACATGAGTACTATATGTGTAGTGTGTGTCTGTATGACTGAGGGGGAAAGTTAAAGTAGTACAATCTGTTTTGTACATTACACAAACATGCCGTCGTTGAAATAATTGTTTCATTATAAACACTGCGTATCGTTATTTGTAAGAAAGAGATATTAAATTCAGTGTCTTTGAACAGAAACACACATAAAGCAAGGTTATGTACTGATCAGTTGACGAAAATGGTACAACCAGAGACCCACAGGAACTCAACCCTGTATTTCTGCTAATTGAGTGTGCACGGTGACCTTACAGTTATAAGTGCTGCGAACGACAAGGATCAGCTCTATTCTGGAATTCAGACATCATCCACACCAGTCCTTCCTTCAAGTCAAGTTAATCCATATGGAAATACAACCATATATAATCCTTGTCATTTGGTCAGATTAAAAAATGTTAATTATAATCCAACTCTGAGAGGCAGTAATCAGATGCAAATGAGATATCATTGACTAACATCCTATTTGTTCAGGTTTGGGTTTTTTCAGCTGGTAATTGCTCCCTGTTGATACTCTGGACTAGGGTCTGTGTCACCCAGTCTAGTGTTATCTAAATCAAGGAATAGATGAAACATGTCTGTGATTAAAAGGACATTATGGTGGCTTTATGCCAACAAGCTTTTTAAAACAGTCTGATTGCAACATAGTTCCCACACCACAAAATTTACTCATTTAAAGTGCATAGTTCAATCATTTTAGTATATTCACAGACGTGCGCAACCATCACCACAGTCAATTTTGGAAGATTTTCATCACCCCAAGAAGGAACCTCTGACCAATTAGCAGTCACTCCCCATTTCTCCCCAATCCCCAGCTTTAGGCTAATCTTTCTGTCTCTCTATATTTTCTTATTCTAGACATTTCATATAAATGGAATTATACAAGATGTGGTCTTTTGTGACTGTCTTCTTTCACTTAGCACATTTTCAAAGTTCATTCGTCTTAGGTATATACCTGTGGAACTGCTGGACCACATAGTAACTCTGTGCTTTACCTTTCAAGAAACTGTCAAACTGTTTCCCCAAGCAACCATTTTACACCCTCACCAGCAATTTCTGAAGTCTCCGATTTCTCCACACCCTTGCCAACACTCTATCTTCTTGATTATAACCATACTAGTGGGTGTGAAATGACATTTCATTATAGTTTTGATTTGCATGTCCCTGATGACTAATGATGTTAAGCATCTATTCATGTCTTTATTGGTCATGGTATATGTTGTTTTGGAAAAATGTCTACTCAAATCCTTTGCCCATTTTTTTTTTCTTTGCCCATTTTTTTAAAGACTTTTTTGATGTGGACCATTTTTAAAGTCTTTATTGACTTTGTTACAATATTGCTTCTGTTTTATGTTTTGGTTTTTTGGCAGCAAGGCATGTGGGATCTTAGCTCCCCAACCAGGGATTGAACCCGCGCCCACTGCATTGGAAGTGCAGAATCCTAGCCACTGGATCACCAAGGAAGTCCCCCTCTGCCCATTTTTAAATTGGGTTGTCTTTCTATTATTGAGTTCTAAGAGAGAGTTCTTTATATATTATAAACGCAAGTCTCTTATAAAGTATATGATTTGAAAATATTTCCTCCTGTAGGTGTCTTTTCACTTTCTCGATGGCATCCTTTGAAGCATAAAAATTTTTAATTTTGATGAAGTCCAGTTTATCTAGTTTTAGTCTAATGTCCCTCTTGCTTTGGGGGTTGTATCTAAGTAGGCTTTGCCTAACCCAACACAAAATTTACTCCTGTGTTCTTCTAAGAGTTTTATAGTTTTAGTTCTTACATTTAGGTCTATGACCCACTTCAGTAAATCTTTCTTATGTGAGAATAACAGAAAAATAGATGTGAAATTAGGACCCAGTATTTGGGACTTCACCATTCTCAGCCTCATTTTCCTTGGACAGCATAAATAAACCCTACAGTGACAAACTGGGATGTAGCCTTTTGCCCCATCCTTGGGGGCTGAGTCTGGGGAAAAGGATACCCCAGAGTTCTTCAGCAGACTTTCTCCTCCATTATCCTACTTCTCCCACTCTCCTCTTTACAGATTACTAGCACTCCATACATTTGTTCAAATTTACAAAGTTTCTGACCACTTTATGGGTAACCAGGGAACTATTTTCTGTTGTGTCAAATAGTTTAGTAAAGAGGTCAAAAAATTGGTTAGCAGGCCAAATCCAGAAAGACATGCATTGTTCGACCTGAAAAGCATTTTACATGAAGTTAAATTAGCGGCCAGATGTGATATTATGATTTCGCAGAATTCATAATTCAGATGACCAAAATGTGTTTCTCATATATATTTGGCCTTCATCCACAGTTCCTGGCTCACAGCTCCCAAAACCCCTGGAATTTCCTAAGTGTTGAGAGTGGTAAAGGTGTCTTGTGTTGTATGAATGACTTTTAGAAGCACCTAAGGATGGGGCTGGTTGCCAGGACAACTTACCGTGTGATTAGAGGATTGGAACTTTCAGTCCCCACATCCCCACACAGCCCTCCCCTGCCCCACCTCTCGGGAGAGGGGAGAGGGGCGACAAGTTGAATCAGTTCCCAATGGCCAGTGATTTAACGAATCATGCATATGTGATGAAGTCTCCATAAAACCCCAAAAGGACAGGGTTGAGAGCTTCCCAGTTGGTGAACACGTGGAAATTCGGGGAGTGGCACCCTTGGAGGGGGCATGGAAGCTCCACTCACCTTCCTCGTACCTTGCCCTGTGCATCTCTTCCATCCGGCTGTTCCTGAATTACATCCTCATGATAAACCAGTGATCTAGTATGTAAAATGTTTGAGTTCTGTAAGCCACTTTAACAAATTAATTGAACCCAATTTATAGCCAGTCGGTGAGAAGCACAGGTAACAGCCTGGACTTGCAACTGGCATCTCGAATCAGGGGGTGCAGTGGGAGTCAGTCTTGTAGGATTGAGCCCTTAACCTGTAGAATCTGGTGCTATCTCTGGGTAGTGTCAGAATTGAGTTGAATTGTTGGACACACTGCTGGTGTCCAAGAATTGTTTGTTGGTTTGGGGAACTCCCAATATACCAGCACTTAAAAATTAAGAGATTTCAAATAATCTAATTTCCAATTTCCTTTGAAAAACTGGAGAATCTGGCAACACTGGGCACATAATCCCACAAAATATCAATAGAAATAGTCTGGAACTGAGCAATGCCTTTAGACAAATCTCTCCAGCTGGCCACAGTACAAATCCCAACTCCCTACAAGTTTCCTGGTTCACTATTACCATGTTGTCTTGGTAATAATTTATGGGGTCCTTCCTGCCAAACTCAGCATCTTTAGCCCCTCATCCACCATAGTCTCTTTCCACTGTCTTGGGTTATCACCTTTTTAGAAAAGATCTTCCTCTGTTTGGTCCTGGATACGTATCTTGGGGGCTTCTGGCTGAACTCTGCATGTATCCTTCAGGGGTACTAGAAACCTGTATCTTGATCGAAGTGCTACCACTTCGCATTAAGTGTATAAATACATAAAAATTCATCAAGCTATACATTTAAGATTTGTGCACTTTACTGTATGTTACACCTCAATTTAAAAAAAAATTAGAGAGAGAATGGATGGGTAGTTTCCTACCAGACATTGTATGTCTGTCTGCAATGCCTGGAACTGCAGCAGTTATCTTGTGAACAGGGGGTAAGCTACCCAAATCAGACAATCCAATTTACTGAAAATGGCAAAGCAGAAAAAGATTTATGATGTCACAGAATACTAAACCAACCTCGGAGCCTCTCTTCATGTGGACTTACTACTGAAATAATACATGTTTTTCACAAACTATATCAGCTTTCAGCCATCCCAGTGTGTAATCATACAAAAGCTTCTTGATGGTAATATATAGCTCACAAAGTGGAGTTAATAAGACTCAAGTTCACATGTAAGTACAGTTTAATCAGATCTTTGGACAAAAATTTTACCATAAACTAGTGAGTTGAACATAAAAGAAATACAGTTAAGCATATATGTTAAGTACTAAAAAAAAAATTAAGTTGGAAAACCTTATTACAAAAGATTAAACTCATTGGCCACTGAAAAAGAAATAACAGTTCTAGTTCACAGAATTAAAAGTAACTCTTTATTGATAAACATATATACCAGAATTAGAAATGTCAGTAGAAAAATAAAATTTAAATAATTTTCTATGGTACAAAGATTAGATCATTTTGACTGTAGCATTTGGTGAAATAATCTAATACAAAAAGCTGAGCTCATTTTAGCCACAACCAGCCTGACAGAGTGCACAAAAAAGAAATGCACGTACACAGAACCTTCTGCATGTGGACAGCTAATGGCACCAGGACTTCACATTCCAGGAAATGGTCTCCTAGGGAAGGTTGGTATGCACTGCAGTTGTAATAAGAACTTAATTCAAACCAGAGCAGCTTTTGGAATCAAAAGCTAACATACAATTTAAAGACTTAGAAAACATAAGGGCTTAAAGATAATTATTTGCATGAACTTTTTCTCACCTAGTTTAGACATTTCCTAGGTAATGTTTTGCTGAAAAAAAAAATGAGTTAACAGCACAAAGAGACATCTTTATCTTGGAATATTCATTACTCATTTGTATATGGATTTAAGTTTACATGAAACGCCTTTACCCTAAAACCTCAATATTAAAGAATCCAGAAATCAGCTTTTTATGGTTGGGGCTGCCTCCTTCCCACTCATAAAAAAAAGGAAAAGTGGATGCACAGCTAAGGGAGGGGTGGTTGCACATGTCTCTAGGAAAGTCAGTAGTTGGCAAAACTTCTCAGAAGCTATATGTGATAAGATAAAATGTTCAACACAAATGCCAATATTTTTTCATCTGGGCAACCACCCCCAACTAATTGTGTATTTGAGATGAGAAATTAAAAAGAAAAATAAACTCTAAGGAGGAATAGACATTCCTTATCATTCAAATAGTTTCTCCCTGAAAACATTTCAAGCCACAAAGCTCAAGCTATATAAAGTCTATATACACTTATTCACAGGAGAATGTTCACATACTGGGATGAATGAAACATTCAATAATTTGAAGATGCCTTTTATATTTGAAGTTTTTTAAAAGAGTGGATAATAAAACAAGAAACAGATGAAAACAAACACAACTTTCAAAATGCATTAATTTTTGTGTCTTGGCTCTAAAAGAAAAATAAACCAAATAAATCATGGATCAGTATGTTCAAAAATTAGCATTTAGGGGGAGGAGCCCACTGACCACTGGCCCATGTTCAATTTGTGAAATTCTATCCAAAGGAATGTTTTAGGTGAGAATGCTAAGAGGCATCCTTCAATAGAGATAATTAAAATCATTTCCTACAACAAACTTCTTAAACTGAAGGGCTACTTTTCCAAATCCAGCTCACTGAACTGAAAAATGGAGTCTTCAACTAAAGACTTAAAAATTTGCTTGAAAGAAAGATTTGAGCATTGGAGAGTAATCTTGTTGTGGAATTTGTAAAGACATTTGCCTACATTCCAACTCCTGTAATTTTCCACCTAGTCTATGTGTATATAACACTATAATTTTGATAAGTGGTCTAATGGCCGATTAGTTAAAAGAAAATGTCCAGTTACTTTTTGTGATCCTTTGTAATTTTTCCCTTTGACTATCCCTGGTAAATTGGTCCTCCTGGCTGTTTTTAATCAGAAGCCAGAGTGCATATTGCTTTAAATCAAATAGAATTGCACACGGCCTCATGGGCAGTTAGCCTTACACTCACAATGAAAACTTTCCTTTAAAAATGTCAGATTTAATTACCAGAAACTATTTTGAAAACAGATAACATCGATTGTATTTCATACAGAACAGTTTAGGTGGTAAGGATAAAGTTAGATAATTTTTGCAATCCTTTTTCTTTTGAAGGTTACAGTTTTCAGGCCTTTAAATGAAAAAGTAAGTTAGGCATTAGAAGAAAAATTAAAATAGCTAAAATTGGGTTTTAAAAAACTCTGATATTTAATTCTCTTTAAGGATATAAATTCTCTTGAAGGAAAATGTAAAGGGCACAGTGGAAGGCATATCTGAAAATTAAACTTTAGGCACTTTCTGGGAGTGATACCCAATACTGTGAAAGTGAGCTGAAGACCCACCACTAGGTAACCACATTAAGACTAGGAAATCCATAACCACTAACTCTAGTTTAAGCTGCACTTATACAATTTTTCAAGAGCCATGAGTAAACCAAAGTCACTAAGAAAAACAGTAACAGAACGCTTAAAGTATCTTTTTGTGCGTGTGCCTCAATGTTCAAAGAGTGTCCTAAACAATCTGGGTGAAAATTTTCAACTCCCAACTCTTTAATAGAGTATGTTTCCAATTAAACTAAATAAAAACAGTAGAATAAAAGCAATAGGAAGAGGTGGTACAGGAGCTTTAGGGGAAAAAGTCTCAATTATCTAGCTTATTTTGATAAAATGTACCAAAAAACAAATTCACATCTCTTAAAATATATTAAATAATCAGAGGTCAAGATAGTTATCCATAAAAATGTCACATCATTCAGTAGTTAGCTCCTTTTTCTTTAAACAAAGGAATCGAAGCCACTACTTGAGTTATAGATTTTTTTGTGTGCAACAGATTTCACCAAATTTGTTCTCAACACGACATTCAACCAAAACCTACTTGGCACTTACTGTCATGAAGATGTAGCAAGAGATGAGTTTGCCAAATTTTAATCAAGGTTAGATCAAGTTAGATTTTAGTACAGTATACTCTGCTCAGAAATAAACTAATATGATCCATAATTTCTCTGAAATATGCAACGTTGCATTTTCTCACAGAACATTATAAATTTCAGTGTGAAGGATGCCAACCCAGAAGCACTGCTGACCTGGCTTGCGTAAAGGTACACCCGTAAAACTGCCTGAATTAAATATGTAAAAAAAAGAAAGAAAGAAAAGAAAGTTGATTTGTTTTGGTTGAGAACAATGAGTCCAAAAAGATCTTTAATTCCTGGAGCTTCAAATTGAAGAAAGGACTGAAATGTTGTTCTTCATATACCTTTTCATCCAAGTTGCTTCCCGTTTGAAGAACTAAGAAAACACATTCCATACTGTATTCTTTTTGAGGATTCTATGAAACTTAGGTTCACCATCATAGCACAAGGGTATGTGCTATAGAGTAGCTAAAATCCGTAAAAAGGAGACCACCACTACACAAAATGTCTGTCCAGTGCCCAAGGTGAGGGCTTCAAATGGAATCATTTCCTTTCCTGCTGCTCGGTACACTCCAGCAATTGCTGCACCTGTTCAAAAATTCAAGAATATTTTTTAAAAAAAGGTTAATATAACCAGGAAAATACAGCACTTAAAACTCTACCAGTAGAATGTTCTAAATTTTTTACATTAAAATTTAGACATTACAGAAATGTTTTGTTTTGTCTATTCTTTTTGCTGACTAGGTTTTAAGTATTCCTTATATGGTTTGCAAATCACTGACAAGTGTTTTTAGGTGTTGAAAAGTGACTCCTTTAAACTGAGTCTCCTAGATTTACTGAATAAAACCACCTGGAAGTCATAGCTGAAATCACAAAGACGGTGATTTCCACATAACCTGATTACAAACTCAAAAACATCTCTTATTCCGCATGCATTTAACAGGTACCTAACAAACTCTTGGCAATAAATGACAAAGAATCTTCCCTGTGGGACTGAGCAAGAAATATTTCAGGAGCAGCCACAGGGAAACCCCACTCTACTGTGTACTGTACTCAGAGCTCCCCTCAAGAAATGGATGGAGAAAGGGGTGGGAAAAGGAAAAGAGGGGGACCCTAAGCCTATCAAGTTGCTATTCATTCAAAGGGCAAGAGGTGAGGGATACTTGGGGAGTCCTTTCTGTTACCCAAATCATTAATCTTTTTTATTATGTTAGTCACTGTAACTTCCTAGAAATTGAGTAAACAAAACAAAACAAACATCTCTCTCTCTACCCAGGTACCCTGATTTGCTCACAGGGACTCAGCATTGTACAAAGAAAGTCAAGATTTCAATAGTTTGAAAATAACAGATCCAAACATCTCAGATGACTGCCCTGCCGCCCCCCGCCCCACCTCAAAATGCTCCAAACAGAATTCTCCTTGGTCACAGAAGCTAGCTGGAGACACAAGACAGAAACACAAACATGAAGTAGATTTTGAATAATGCAAGATGAAATATAGTGTTTCAATCAAGTGTCTACACCTTTTACAAATGTGATGTGATGGTATATTGACATATTTTAAGGAGAAGAAAGAACAATACTAATCAATATCTGTGTTGGTTGCCAGGAACATTTGTGACTTTGAAATGCCCACGGCCAGAGGCAATGCACAAACACTGTGCTACTAACATCTGAAAGGCACATGTTCCATTGGGCCTCTTTGTAATTTGTCTCCAAAGAAAGTGGGTTGAGTCGGAAGAAGCTTAAAGAAGTTGAACTGGGTCCCAAAGTGGGATTTGGATGATTAAGGGAAGACAGGAAAAAGCAAACCAGAAGGAGCAGCAAAATGGGAAGGGAACAGGTTGTATGCACTAGAGTCGAAGAAGGACATGAACACGACATTTACTGCACAATTACTTTATGGTAGATATTCTGGTTAAGTATTTTATATTCACATTTTTTCATTTAGTCATCACACAGCATCCCTATTTTACTGAAGAGAAATCTGAAACAGGTCCTGGGGGCCAGTAATCCAGCAGGGAAACTGGCGCAGAGGGTCTCTAAAGATAGCAGTAGGTGATACAGTTAAAAATATTTTTTAAGGCCCGTTATGGAAACTCCTTAATGCAAACAGGAGAAAACTGGCCTCCTCCCCCGTGTTATCACAAAGGTTTCATCATCTGTGGAACACAGAGAAACTAGGCCACCCTGTCCCCAAAAAATCCCTCAAGTCAAAGAGAGAGGGAGGTTTCTGCTTGAAGCTCAAGGTTTAAATTCACAGTGAAAAAAACTTATGTTTACATGTATACCTAGAAAAAAGTCTGAAAGCATATACCAAAATGCAAACTGTGATACCACTTAGGAATGCAGTAATGGAGGATTTTTAATTTTGCTTTCTTATAATTTTTAATTTATATAGAATATACATGTTATTTATATTTCATTATGAGCTTAAAGATGATTTAAACTTCTTCTCATCCCCTTGACATGAGCAAAAGCCACCCTTCCCCCCCAAAAAACACCAGACAGGTAAAAATAATTTATAATTATGAATGTTACTCCAATTCTTATTCAGAAAGTCCTGAGAGGAAAAAACAACCAGGTACTTTTCTAAACAATAATTCTTGTCACTAGAATTATTCTTCCATCCTTAAAATAACTACACCTGGATGAGTGGAAGTGATCTGTTAACCAGCTTGCAAGGTCACAAATCAGTGAAGTGACAGCTGAAGAGAAAGGAGCAGCAGCTTCCAAAAAGACAAATATCTTCTTTTGCTAGTGACCTATTTCACAAGATCTATCTCACAAAGCTTAACATGACTTCCCTGAAGCCAGCGAGACAAAATCTGGCTCAGTAAGTCAAAGATGTTAGCCAAATAAGGGGGGACTGGGGTGAGAAAAAAAACAGGATCTGTGGTTAAAGATCACTCTTTCTTCTTCATCTCATTGAGACATGCTTCTAAACTGGTTCCTAAAATTAACTAACTAGTCAAATGAAACATTTTGACTGTATTTTAATGTCTAACATACTTGTCAAGATTCCAGCAGTAATTGGTCCCACGATGCCCATCAACAGGATGCTTACAGACATGAACCTACCATATTTGTGATGTCTGAGGGTGAAGAGGGCCAGTAATCCAGCAGGGACATGAAAGAAGAGAGAGGACACCAGTGCCCACAGGAACACACCATACCACATCTCTACAAGGGAAAGCAAAGAAAGGTCGTACATCACTGCCCTTCCCAGTGCAATCATTACAAAGAGGTAGTCACTATGCCCAGTTATTTCATTTTCAAAACCATTCAGTTGCAATGGGGGTTCATCAGTCAAATATCCAAACATTGATGGTTTGCGAGGGATAAGTAAACTATGGCCACCTCCTGTTTGTGTACATAAACTCTTACTGGAACACAGCCATGCCCATTCATTTAAGTCTTGCCTATGGCTGTTTTCAAGCTACAAGATCAGGGCTGAAACAGTGACAGAGACCATATGACCTGCAAAGCCTAAAATATTTACAATCTGGCCCTTTACAGAAAAGGGTGGCCAACCCCTGACAAGCTACCTGTACTCCCAAACACTGAAGAAAAGGTTCACCCAGATTTGAAAATTCACTTAAATGATTTCCCTCCCATAAGGACAAATGTAAGTACCACTGACAGGGTGCTATGCAGTCAATGCCTGATGACCGTCCCTGCCTTCTTGATTATTCAGTCATCTCAAATGGAAAAGCTCTATATACAATTACATTCATTCAACAATCATTTTCAAGACAACGCAGTAAATATCAACCCCTCACCTCCTATTAGGGTATCAAGGCTCTTTAAGACATGAAATAAATACCAGAATATGTAAATGTTTCGCTTAAAGACAAATGGCAAGTGAGAGGACAGGTTAGAAGAGGAGCTGGTTCCTTCAGAGAACCTCTATCCCTCTTAGGATGACAGTAACTCAGGAAACATTAAGATATTTGTCCAACAACTATGTATACAAACCTATGCATGAGATATCTTGGAAAATACAAAAACAGGAGGAGATACCATCCTGTCCTCATGACTTTACGATTTAGCAGACATAACATTTTCCCCCAGTGGGCCCAGGCATGGCTTCAGAATTCTCAAGAGAGCTCTTTACCCATATATGGATATAATGAAGGTGTCACACTAGATGAAATCTGTTGTCCATCCCTGCACTTGAGGCAGGTAAATACCAGGCAATTTTAAAGATCAGTCAACAGCTCAACTGGGGTTTCTGCACCACAGCACTATTGACGTCTGGACCATTTAACTCTTTGTTGTGGGAGGCTGTCGACTGTAGGATGTGGAGCAACACCCCTGGCCTCTACCCTCTGGATGCTGGTAGCGCTCTCTCCCGTTGTGGCAACCACAATATCTTGACATTGTCACACGTCCCCTGTGGGCATAATTACCCTGGTTAAAAACCGCTGACCTGACTGAAGCAAAGGGTTTATAAGAGTAACAGTAGTTAGGATGCAAAGATAGATGGGGTCACATTACGGGGGGCTTTGAAGGCCAAACTAAGGACTTCAACATGTAAGCCCTACAAGGTACCATCAAAGGTTTTTTGAGCAGTAAAGGGTTGTCAGCACAGTACTTCACAGGTGGCACCTTACACTCCCAGTAGGAACACAAACTAGAAAGCCATCTCTGGAGGGTAAACTGGAAGTGTGTCTCCAAAACAGTCAACTGTGCATACCCTTTGCCACAGTGATTTTACTTCCAGGAATACACAAGGGCAAGGACAAGGTCACGAGGTTCCTGGCAGCCCTGTCTGTACTGGCAAAAACTAGACACCAACTGCATGTCTGTCGATGGAGGACTTGTGAAACTTGTTATGGTGCATCCGCATAATGAAACGTTACACAATCAATAAAAATAGGAGCAGCTATTTAAATACTGATGGGGTAAGATGCCCAACCCACAGTGCGAAGTAAAAAAGCTTAAGTTTCAGAATAATATGCAGAATAAGATCCTGTTTTTGTGAAAACAAAAAACAAAAGAAACAAATGTGTGTAAATGCTTCTGTCTACTCAGAAGAGTCTGGACATATGTTTATTTAATAAATATTTACAACATGCACAGGCACTGTTTTAAGTGCTTGACAAATATTAACTCACGTAATTCTCAAAGTAGCTCTATGAAGCACATATTAATATCTCTGGCTCTTGGTTGAGGAAACAGAAGCAGAGGGAGGTGAGGAAACTTGCTGGAGCCCACACTGCAGCACGAGGCAGAGCCCAGGTTGACCCATGCTGGAAGCAATGCCCTCATCCTCTGTGCACCTCTTATATATATTAAGATATAGAAAATTGTTATTTCTGGGGAATAGGATAGGCTGCGTTGACCCATGCTGGAAGCAATGCCCTCATCCTCTGTGCCACCTCTTATATATATTAAGATATAGAAAACTGTTATTTCTGGGGAATAGGGTTTATGACCATTCACTTTTTACTTTGATAAAACAAACAAAGCGGGGGCTTCCCTGGTGGCGCAGTGGTTAAGAATCTGCCTGCCAATGCAGGGGACATGGGTTTGAACCCTGGTCCGGGAAGATCCCACATCCCGCGGAGCAACTAAGCCCGCGAGCCACAACTACTGAGCCTGTGTGCCACAACTACTGAAGCCCTCGTGCCTAGAGTCCGTGCTCCTCAACAAGAGAAGCCACCGCAGTGAGAGAGAAGCCTGAACACCACAATGAAGAGTAGCCCCTGTTCGCCGCGACTAGAAAAAGCCCGCGCACAGCAACAAAGACCCAATGTGGCCAAAAATAAATAATAAAATTTTTAAAAAATTTTTAAAAAGCTTGGGAATTCTCTGGTGGTGCAGTGAATAAGACTCCACGTTCCCAATACAGGGGGTGCACGTTCAATCCCTGGTCAGGGAACTAAGATCCCACATGCCATGGGGCACAGCCAAAAAACGGGGGGGGGGGGGGGGAAGAGCGACCAGTGAGGAGCATCAGTGAGCTGGGGGAGAGGGGAAAGTGGCAAAGGGGAGGGCCAGGGGCTTTTCTTGAAGTTGCATTTGAGTTGTAAGCACACTGTAGTGTGTGGTTTTTCCCAAATCAATTTCTTTTTATTTTTACTCTTGTTGGGAGCAGGGGGAGGAGGAGTTAGGGAGCCAGAGGTGATTAGATGTGGGGCCAAATCCCCACCGGGCGCCCTCCACACCCTCACTGATGACTGCACTAATTCTCTGCCAAAGTTTCAGTTAATACCATAGTATACATAGACCAACATGAGGGTGTCTCGCCCCTGGTACACCATAGTATACATAGACCAACATGAGGGTGTCTCGCCCCTGGTACACCATAGTATACATACCATAGTATACATAGACCAACATGAGGGTGTCTCGCCCCTGGTACACCATAGTATACATAGACCAACATGAGGGTGTCTCGCCCCTGGTACACCATAGTATACATAGACCAACATGAGGGTGTCTCGCCCCTGGTATACCATAGTATACATAGACCAACATGAGGGTGTCTCGCCCCTGGTATACCATAGTATACATAGACCAACATGAGGGTGTCTCGCCCCTGGTATACCATATTATACATATACCAACATTAGGGTGTCTCGCCCCTGGTTGTTGTTGTTTTTTTTTAATTAAATTAATTTTTTTGGCTGCGTTGGGTCTTTGTTGCTGCACACGGGCCTTTCTTTAGTTGTGGTGAGTGGGGATACTCTTTGTTGCGGTGCACGGCCTTCTCATCGCAGTGGCTTCTCTTGTTGCGGAGCAAGGGCTCTAGGCATGTGGCTAGAGTAGTTGTGGCTCCTGGGCTCTAGAGGGCAGGCTCAGTAGTTGTGGCACATGGGCTTAGTTGCTCCGCGGCATGTGGGATCTTCCCGGACCAGGGCTCGAACCTGTGTCCCCTGCATTGGCAGGCGGATTCTCAACCACTGCGCCACCAGGGAAGTCCTTTTTTTTCCTTTTTAATATTTATTTATTTGGCTGCTCCAGGTCTTAGTTGCAGCATGTGGGATTTTTGTTGCGGCATGCGGGATCTTTATTTGCGGCATGCAAACTCTTAGTTGCAGTATGTGGGATCTAGTTCCCTGACCAGGGATCGAACCCAGGCCCCCTGCATTGGGAGCGCAGAGTCTTAACTGCTAGGCCACCAGGGAAGTCCCTCGCTCTTGTTTTGGATGGAATGCTCTCAATAAAAAAATCAGGGACACCTCATCTAGGGCTCAATGCTTATTAAAAATAACAAACGACTGAGGGTGTTTTTGTACTTCTGGTGACAAATTATCAGATAGCTACAAAAGGTTTCAAACCACTGGTATAAGTTTTCTTTTCCTTTCTGCTGAACAAGATACACCTTCAGAATAATTTTACAATACTGTCAAAACCTGTCTATTTTGTTTGATGGTGTTTGGCAAATTGTTAAACCAAGTCTAAATCATGCAATATGGAGTATAAAGTGATTAAACAGTAATGTCCCAAGATTAAATATATATAACATAAACATATATGTATAATATGTAAAAAAATATATGTATACTAACTACTGCTCTTCCTCCACCAAAAAAATCACACACACAAACAAAAAAACCCTTCCCAGTCAATAGCGTCTATCAGAAATTGTGGGCGGGGCTCTCAGTCCTCAGGGTTTGGGTCCCCATCGTCTTCAGGAACAAACCTGTACAGTTAGTCCCCTACACAAGAACCTTCAAGTTGCGAACTTTCAAAGATGCATTCCATCAACGTCAGGCGTGAGTGAAACTGCAGCTTGCCCTCCGTCTCCTATTGTTGGCGATCCTTCAGCTCTACCATCTCCCACCTCCTCTCCCTCCTCCAGTCAGTAACTCTTCTTGCTTGTTCCCTCGATGCCAGCCCCTGTATGCCAGCTGTTGTACTGTACCACTGTACTTTTCAAGGTACTGCGCTGTAAGATTAAAAATGTTGTCTTTATTTTTTGTGTTTATGTATTATTTGTGTGAAAAGTATTATAAACCTACTACAGTACAGTACTACATAGCCAATTGTGTTAGTTGGGTACCTAGTCTAACTTTGTTGGACTTATGAACAAATTAGACTTAAGAAGAACGTGCTCTCGGAACGGAACTCGTTCGTACGTAGGGGACTTACTCTACCAGATACCACTGCAAGCTCCTTTCTAGCCTCGGGCACCAGCCCTTCTTGCTTCCATGGCCCAGGAGACTTGCCCT